TAGAGCCGTCGCGACGATAGGAGCTTGGAGCCAACTTTATGGGCAGCACGACGAGGAGCTTGGAGCGAGCAACAAGAGGATTTTCTTCAGCATTATCTCTTCCTAGCATAATAACAACCCATAGGACTTTGAGGTAGTTCGCATAGCACGACGTAAATCCTCACTCCTTTTTTAGGCTCATGTACAACCATGTTGTGCAGCGTAAGTCCTAACCCGCCTTAGGTTCCGAGGTTGTCGTGTGACACGACGTAAACCTTCTTATTTCTGTGGGCTATTTGCATAATCGGGTATTATGCAAATGTAAGTCCCAAATAATAAAATTTGCAGGATTAAACATTCAAATAACATCTTCTCTAAAATGCAACCACACAGTAGGATAGTCTGGGATGTCACTGAGGTTTCTCCTCAGGATCTATGACATCTTTTACTTGTTCCTTCCTTTGAACTCCTGAAAGAACTGTTCCTACTTGAGCCACTTCCACTTGTTTTTTTCCTCGTCCTACCGTAGAAACCTAAACTTTGAAATCTTGAAGACTAGAACCACCGATCATTATCGAGAGTTTTCTTAAGTGACTCCAGTCATTTGAGATGTAATTAACTATAGGAGCTTGCCTTTATAGGGAACTTAGAACCCAGGTAAAATAAACCCTATTTAATCTTTGTATTAGATAGGGGAACTTGTCGGTCATACATAAAAAGGTAAACGGATGTCACAAATCTCTTAGTTTGCTGGATTGGGTCTATCGCCGAGGTCTACACTTATCTTTCGGGAGGGTGTAGTATTCGCGGTATCAGACACGATTATGCAAACTATTGGACGAATGAGATCCATTTGGTCTCATTTTTCAAAAATTAAAACATACTACTTTCAAAACCTAAACCATATATCTTTTATGTTTAAATTAAATTTCAAAAATTATTCTCATATTCATATTTTCAAATCAATCCATCGAAAAAGTTGACCGACACCCCTCTTTGTATTAATAAGATTTCCTTCGTTCTATTCTAAAAGTTTTCATTATCAAATTTTAGAGCAAGTTTTATGAATAACATTACCATCAAAATCGAAGTTTCTTCATGAAGGAACAATCAAGTGAATGACTAAGAACTCACTTTTTAAAAAAAAAAAAATTAAATGAATTACTTTTCAAGATTTTCATTACAACTTCTTAATATGATAGCTCTAGCTTTCTGTATGATTTTTGCTTGAACTATTTCATTCATCCAAGGATTTGCAGAGGATATACGAGGTTGGTGGCTACAAACTCTTTGAGTTTCCCTTCGTTGATGATTCCTTGATATGGCTATCATCTTATCGAATGTTTCACAATACTCTATGTTATTTATGTGATCTGTGTGAAAAACACAATAGTTTGATGGGCCTTGGGGATGAGGTTGTGTGTTCAATGTAACGGCTGCTCTAAGTACTTTGTCTTTAATTTGTGTTTTGGGAGTAGTTAGTGCTAAATCATAAAGCATGTGGCTTAGTCCCGTTCCCTTTGAGAAATAACTTCTCTCTTTTTTGTTTTTAATTCCATTCGTCAGTTTTGCATAACCATAAAAGAATATATGTGGGTACTTTTTATTATTAGCGAGTCCTCTCTTTTTGTTTTTAATTCCATTCGTCAGTTTTGCATGAGATAACCATAGAAGAATATATGTGGGTACTTTTTATTATTAGCGAGTAGCGACTTGTCTTTGACCGGTGGTTGATAGATTGAGGAACTTCTATGTTCATGTTGACATTGATAATGTTTATGCTGATGTTGATATTGCAACGAGTTCTTTTATATATTAAGTTGAAGTCATCACAATGTATTTGGTTGTTGTTGATGATGCCATTTCAGATCTAGGGCAACTTCCAGATTCTTATGGTTTAAAGTAGAAACTGTAGTATTGCTGTACTCTTTTGCATTAATATAACTATAGCCAATCTCTAATAATCTGGTTAAAGCCTTTTGGTTGCTGTAAGCTAAATGCACCTTTGAAATGCATTCGTATTGACCGTGGGTGAGTTAAGCCTGGGTGATTACACATGCTAAGTTTTTGACATTCTACATCACTCGTTGAGAATGAATAGTAAAATGTTGGAGAGGTTTGCTAGATTTCTGCCTCAGACTCTAAAGAACTTTTGATTTTGTCAATAGACAAAATCTTGGATTCTAAATATTAGTTATGCTTCTAGTAGAAAGTCTAAAGAGCTGCTATTAAGTTGTTTTCTTAAATGTTCTGAGTAATAGTCGACACAACACAATATCACCAATGGAGAGAGGAACTATTGACTTAAAGTGAACAATGCGATCCGCTGGTTTAAACTTTTTTAATAAGCTTTTGGTATTGGTATTTTAAACTTTCGTGGAGATTGTGAGCTTTGTATTTTGAATAGAAATGATGTTGTTTGGCTTTGAATCGTTTCTTGGGTTGGTGGAGATGAAGAGTTTTTGTTTCATTTCATTTTCAAAGAGAAGATCCTTTGCCTGAAATTGACGAAATTTATACACTTGGTGATGATGTGGGGGAATCAGTTAAGTTGCGTTTTTGGAGAGGATGATGGTTGAAACCTCATCGCAAACATTTTGAGAATTCTTGGGTCATTTTTGTGAAATGATCTTTGATATGATTTTGTTGTTCGTATGTTTTAAAAAAAAAGTATTGCCCCACTTACATATATCTTTTCCTTTTTTAGAATTGATGTATGATTTGACACTTTGTTCTAGGCATCTTCTACACTTGTTACATTTTAGAGGATGTTCGATTCTAAATTATATATGTATAACAAGTAAATCTTATTAATAAGATTTGACAAATTATGAAAGGAACGAGGAGAGAGAATCATAGTTTAGAGAGAAGATTTGGGATCTTATTAGGTCCCTATCACAAAGAAAAACTAATGTTTTTGAGTCATTGGGACGTGCCAAAATGAGTAAGACTTCTTATTGGCTTTTGTTATGGTTCGGTGCCACAAGAAGATATATATTTTAGTAATACAAATAAAATTATATTGATGATTTTGGAGCCTTATTACATGAGTGTTTGGGCACATGTCACCATGAGGCACCCTTGAATCTTACAATTTTCTAGTCTGAGCATAGTTTTCTCCTTTTTATTCAAGGCATATGCCTTGAGGGGCATTGGGTGAACGCTTAAATACTTTTAAGTAAAATATAAGTTGATTTAACTTTTTTGGTTTATGGTTTATAAAAGTTTTGAGATCGAAGATTTCAATTCATTTTCTAAGTTTATTAGAATACCTTAAGTAGGGTTGTCAAAATTGACAGACCAACGCAAGTTGAACTTACTCAAAAAATTCAACTTTGAGTTTATCCAAATATTTTTTTGAGTTGGTTTAGGTAGACTCCTCAGCCTGAAATTAAACTGAAACTGTCCTTTACCCAAAATTGACTCAAAATCGACCCGCCAACTCAAAATTCACCCGAATAACTGTTTTGCGTTGTCATGCCTTATGTTAAACAGGTTAAAAACAAGTAGGTTCCATATTGGACTTTTAAACCGTTTATCATTAAGTCAGATTCGGATCAAGTTGTATCAGATTGAATTAATTTCAAGTCATACTTATATCGGACCCGTGAACCCGATTTGACACCCTTAGCTTTAAGTAAACGTTTTTATTTTTTTAGCGAGTTTCTATTTTTTTAAAAAATATTTTTTCATTACTAAGTTATTTAAATTTCCTTTTAACATACTTTATTTTATTTTCTTAGTTTATTTTTTTCACTTTTTTTAATATAATTGTTTTCATTTTTTTTTTAACTTTTTTGTTATCTTTTTAACTAATATATCTTTTTATTTTGTTCTATATGGTTTGTCTTAGTTTTCTTTAAGGATTTAATTTTTCACTTTTTGTTCAACTATTGTTTGACGCTTTATTTTTTTTCACTTATCTTTAATTTAATAATTTTTTTAAAAAAAATTATTTTGAAGCGTATGCCTTGTAACTTGAGGCTTACATTATAAATGATATTATCTCTTAAGAGTTATTCTTCCCATTTATCTTTAATTTAATAATTTAAAAAAAAAAATTATTTTGAAGCGTATGCCTTATAACTTGAGGCTTACGTTATAAATGATATTATCTCTTAAGAGTTATTCTTCCTCCTCTCTTGTCATCCGTAATTCCATCTCTCTCCTCTCTTGTCCGAAGTTATTATAATAGTAATTCTTTTTTTATTTACGAGTTAAATATTGTAATTTTATTATTCATTGTTTATCTAAAATTTTTTTCATACATATCTCTAGATTGTGAATACATGCATAATTCTATTAAGTACATTTTCTAGGACATTTATATACAATGCACCCAAAACACTTATATTCGCGAAATAACTACCCTTTTTCATCCTTTTTTTTTCCAATTGTCATCAAATATCAAAATTAGGAATGAAACCATTACCCATATATATATATATATATATATATTTAATCAAATTCACAATTGTTTGATAGGGGAACGTATACATACATGGTTTTGATACTTCAGTAAAATGACTTGTGTGGTCATTTTGTAAAGAGCAATGTTTCAAGTACTATGCATGCAATTAACCCTTTTTATAATTCTCAAGGCTAAAACTGACAGAAAAATGGAACCCATTGATAGCAAAAGGACGGTCTTTATTTTTGAACACGACAGCTTGATCTGAATTTTGTTTTGGTATGACTAACTTCAATGATTTGGTTCAAAAAAATTATGAACTTAAACAAAACCTCTTACTGACAATGCTTGCTTTCAATGAATGCCAAAAGTGATCGGCCCATTAAGCAGTCTTGCTAGATGTTAAAGGATGCATATTTGTCATTCAGCAGTACAGGCTTTATTGTACCTCTAGTCATTAAAATTATACTATTTTTGTACCCATGTTGCTTTTTTTTCTAATAATGCTTCTTACTAAGAAGAATTTCAAACTATTTTACTGTAATATTTCATGCAACTAAATGGCAAAATGGAATAATTCACCGTCTGAATGTTTATTTTACACCTTCAGGAATGGAGACTCCTATGCTGGAGAATATTTTGCAGACAAAATGCATGGATTTGGGGTTTATCGTTTCGCAAATGGACACCGATATGAGGGGGCATGGCACGAAGGACGAAGACAGGGCTTGGGCATGTACATTTTCAGGAATGGTGAGACCCAGGCAGGTCACTGGCAAAATGGTACTCTTGACATCTTGAGTACTCAAAACTTGCTTCATGGTTCCCAAGTTGCAGCGAACCATTCCAAAGTTCGTAATGCTGTTCAGGTGCCTACCCATTTTCTTGCACTAGAGAATAGATATAAAGTGACTTTTTTTTTTCTTTTTTCCTTTATGACGAAAACCCAGCATGTGTTTCCTGAAGTGATGTCAATGTTTCAATAAGAAAAATCAAACTCTAATGAAGGGATTTTAATGATTGGTAATCTGTCCTCAGGAAGCACAGCGGGCAGCAGAGAGAGCAATTGATCTCCCCAGTTTTGATGATATGGCCAATAAGACCATTGCAGCAGCAAACAAAGCAGCTAGTGCAGCTAGAGTGGCTGCTGTAAAAGCTGTTCAAAAGCAAATTCCCAGTAATGGAGGTGAACTTCTAGTCCCTTTTTGCTTGAAACATCCTTAGGCTCTGTTTGGAAGAGTTTTCATACTACTTTCCATTCTACAGAAAGTCGGAAAGTTTATTTAGCTGCAATACTTTTATAGAAACACTTTTGAGAAACCTCCGTTTTTGTTTCAGAAGCCGCTGCTGTTTCCATATAATTTTAAAAAAAAGACTTTTCGAAACACAACTTTCTAATAGTGTCTTATAAATAAAGCTCCACCAACCGGAGCCTTATTCTGGGCAGTGTTTCTTTTACTACTACCGAGCAATAAGCATTCAGCCTGAAGACAGTTTGCAGTGCATCAGATTATATATTGTTTCCTTGTGCTGCAAAACCAAGTTTGGCATACCGATGACGATGAATGAGATGGTGCATAAGCCCGTCCTATTTTTTCTTTCCTATTACATAATGTGTAAATAAATATCTTGCATTTCACGAGAATGATGTTTCTTTTTCACGTAGGTCATGTAGAACTCGAACAAACTTAGTTCTGTAATTGAGTTATTGTTGTTGAAGAACAAACGTCTTGACTAGCTTTTATTCATACCAACGACATGCCATTATAATTCTTCAACTTGCAGGCTATTGGGTGGCTGCACTCTTCACAATCATCCAGGTAATGTAATGTTTTTGAAATAGACTACATCTATTTTACGCTTAATAAAAAGTTCTTTAGTTAAGATAGCTTATCTATGTTTAAATTCATAACTTGGGCTGAACATCCTCTGGTCAAGCATTACAATATAGTTTTATTTGCCATTATTTTTTCTTACAGTCTTGCTAAACTTTCTGTTAATGTCTTCTTATAGTTCGAACAAAAGAAGTTTCCTAAACCTCAAAGCCCATTTATTTGAATTTGAGCTTAGCGGCAAAGTGTTATAGGTTAGCTTTATTTGCTTTACATTCAAACTTGAATCGAGCAAAAAATTTTTGTAGGTTTAATTGATGGTCAACCTCCTGAGGTAAAGTTTTAATTGAACTTGCATGTATATGTTGACCTCTAGAAAGACTCAAAGGTAGGAGAGAAATGGATTGGATTGTTGCATTGAGAGGGGGGTTCATGTTGACCATTCGATGAGAGAGAGGTCAAGGGAGAGATAACAGTCCCAAGTCTTCACTATAAGCTTCAAGCTAGAGATTCATGGGGGTTGGTTGGCTACACCCAGGATTTAATGTAAATAGGATTTAAGAAATCATGTAAATTTAGATTCATCAAATTCAAAAGGTTAAATTCAGAAAAAAATTGTATGGTTCAATTAAGGTTAAATTCAATTAAATCCTTTTGAAGTGTTTGACGGTGAGAGAAGTGATAACTAGCATGTCCTCATTTAAATCTGTTAAATTCACTTTATGATAAATATTAAAATAAATCCATACCAAACGGCCCTTTAATTTGCTCGATCAAGAATCAATATTACTAGTGAAGACCCAAATCTATGAAAATGTGCGAGTCCGGCAACGATGTAGGACTGTGAGGGTAATTGATAAAACAGATAAAATAAATTATGGCTGAAATTGATATTAAGTTCAAAATTGATTTAAATTAAAGTAAAAAAATTAATCAAAATCAAGTCAATCTTGTTAAATAACATGACTTTTGAACGCTTTCCTGTAACTCAGCCCAGTAACACAGGGGAATATTCCTCATGTGTTATTCAGCGTTATTCATGTGTTATTGTGTTATTGTAACACCGATAATATTTCCAGAACACAATAACACATGAATACCACAACAATAACACCTGAATAATGTGAATAACACGGGAGGAATATTTCTCTGCGCTAAAACGATTTTTTTAAATTTTTCTGCCACCTGCACTTGTTCGTATATCAGTGGACTCCGAACGTAGCTCTACATTAGAAATCATGATATAATAGTTTTCCCTAGAATCATGGTGTTAAGAGTGGTGGGACCCCCCTCCACGGGTCACATTATTCCTAATATTTCTTAGAACTCCAAATCAAGTTAAATTTAAAACAACATAAAATCATTCATCACTTAATATAAAATTGCCCAAACGGTGAACTCTAACAAAAAAATTAAATCAATATTGAAACAATAAGGAGGGGTTTGGGATCACTTTCTATTTATTTTTGTATTTTATTTTTATTTTTAGTTTTTTTTTATGTTTGTTTAAGCACAAAATAAAAATATGTTTGGTACATGTTTTTTGTTAATTTTAAAAACAAAGAATAAAAAATATGCTTTATATTCATATGAAATTCTTATTTTATATGAATAAAATATTACTTATCTGGAATCAATTTTATAATTCTTTATCTATACTTTTTTCTGTAAATACTACATATATTTGCTTAGATTCATGCTTGTTACTTTGAAGAAATTATAATGAAAAGTAGTGTATATATATATATATATATAGAGTAGCTAAATTTTTAGGAGCAGTAAGCGTTAATAGGAAGGATAAAAAAATGTATTTATAATTTGTTTTATTAAAAAAATATTATTTATATTAAAAGTATAAAGAGGAAGTGTTTTAAATAAAAATTGAAAATTTATACTAAATTTGGATTTTCCACGTTTTATAAAACCTGGGATAAATCCACGTTTTATATTAATTATTATTTTTATTTAAAAGCTTAAATATAATATTATAAAATTATATTGAAAGAATTTCAATAAATATTATAATAAAATGCCCGATTTTTTGGAAAATTAAATGCTTTTAAATTAAATTATATAATAATTTAGAATATATAATTAAGATAAAAGAATTATTATAATCATACATTAGGTACTAAACAGATTTTAGTCATTGCGATTAAGTTTGCACACTAAATTTTAATTAGTGATCAAAATCAATACTTAGATATGTATTCAATCTTTATTTATAAAATTAAAATATAATTTATTACAAAGTTATATTTAATATTTTTTTAAACAAATAATTTATTCAATGAATTATAATAAATAAATTTTTAAGTTTAAAAAAATTTATTAAAAATATAAATTAAGGAGAAATCAGTATTAAGTTAAGTATATATTAATTAAATAAAAGTACTAAAGTGCTATTTAAATTAATGAATTAGATTTAAAATTAATTTTTTTAATTAATTGATTTATTTAATTACGTTAAATTTTTATATTCTTTTTGTTTGAAAAAAATTATAAAATTAAGCTGCTTGAAGGAAAATAATTATTAAATTATTTTGAAAGTACTGAAATTAACTTAAATTGTTTAATAAATCTGAACCTTCAAAATTACAAGTTTCGAACAATACTAAATTTTTTTAAATTAAATTGTACAATAATTTGAAAATTAATATAAAATTTATCTTCTTCGGTGTGATCGAACGTCACTTGATAACAAAGTATATTTTGATAGAGCTCAAAGTGGTCGTTCTCGTAAATGATATTCCTCTTCATCCTCTTCTTTCATCATTTGACTAGATGATGTGATAACCAGAGTCTTTTTTTGCTTGTAGAGTAGAGTTCCACTAAAATAAGGTCCCAAATGAAATTATAAATCTAACTGTCCAATGCGGAGCATAAGATGGACCCTCATGAGACATTGAAGGTTCTATATATGTTGATAGTCCTGCATATGTTGATGGAACGATAAGAAAAATATCTTCTCGAAACATCTACAATCAATCCTCTTGGAAAGCTTGTTGGTGATATCATAAAATGTTAGAAGTTGATCTTCGAATAGCAGGTTTTGTTGGCTGGTTGACGACACTAAAATCAATATAGAGTAATTGATCCATTCTATTGGAAAGCTCTAAGCGTTCATTGCAACATTCTTGCATTGTCATAACTTCTTTACCATGGTCACATGCAAATCTCATAGCAATGTCCATTGATTGTATCTAGTAGTCCACTTGTATAAGTTCATATTAATTATATTAAGTTGAGGCATGAGAAAAAGAAAGTATAAATAGAGTATAAATTGTATACAAACCATTAATCTCTCTAATTGACCTAAGATAGTAAGTATCTAGTGATTGAGTGATGACTTTACTAGGTAGGTCGACGCCTAGGATCTATAATATTGTAGGTAAGTGTGAGTTGTGTACTTTCATAGCATGAAGGTGGGTTCAATGGTACTAAAAGGGCCCCTATGATTGTTCCATAAATGAATGTAATATTGATAATAACACATCCAATGTCTGTCTAGTTTTCCTCAGCCATCGACCCCTCTGAAATGATCAGTCTATTGACTGGATTGAAGTGGATTGTACACAAACAAATTGTCACATTATTCGATTTGGAAGATTTCACTCCACACACTTTCAACTAATGAGAAGAACACAGAGTTGTAAATTTTTTCATATTTTTAAGACAAATTTTAAGTAACCACACCATAATACTATCACGATACGGTGCTCAAATCACATGTAGACTTAGATCTTATGATTTCTTATAAAATAGGAAACTAATATACAAGCATATATTATTATTAAATATTATTGAACATTTTTGTGTCGGTTATAACTGCTTCTTACTTGACTTCTATTATTATTATTCTATCTATCTCGAAACACATATCTTGAACATAACGTATTTGTGCATTTTTGTTAATATATATATATATATATATATAACTCTACATTAATGCGTCAAAATCGTCTCTATGCAATTATAGATTTCTTCTAAGAACTTCTCATACTCTACACTCCTTCCATCTGGGTTTTACATATGATTTTATTATGAAGTTTTCAGGTATATATTAAGAAATTATTAGTTTACATAACATTTAGCTGAATCCCAATATCTTATGAGATTAACCCCCTGAGAGTAGGAACATGAAGAGTCGGCCTGCCCACATGAAACTGCTCCTAGCAACACAGTTGTACTTGGTGTAAACATCCTACTATATTAACACAAGTAGGCTTCATGGATAGATTTAACTCTCTATACAAATATGATAACATAGCGCCTCCTAATAAATACTATGAAAATACAGCTAAATCCTCAAGTAATGATCAATATTACAAATATATGCATGATCTTGATGTGTCTGGAAGTAAAAAAAACAACCTATCATATGTAAAATATATGCCTTAATAGGACACAAAAAAAATGGGATAGTTTAATCCATCGTGAGATTATCTTTAAAAAGTCCATCTTAGCCAACAAAGAGGTATAATTATATGGGATTGAGAGTGGACCATACAAAAGATTACGATGATATTTTCCTCTCCAGGTTGATGTACCTCCTCATTTAGGTCTAACCATCTTCCCAACAACTCATCACAACATCCAACTCGGCCAACGTAAATTTGTGCAAACAATAATAGGGCCAATTAGGGTCAATCCTTCTACCATAATGCCAATAATAATTTATATATCTTGTAGCGTGATAGTCATCTCACCTATGAAATAATAAAAGTTTCTTATCATGTGATTAACAATAAGAACATGAATTACATACAATTTAAGATATACTTATCTTACGAATATGTAAATGAAATGTATTAGTCAGAGGACACATCACTCCACCGTTGCAGTTATCAAGTGATGTTCTAGCCTGATAAATTGTAGGTGTCGAACAAAATTAAGACCTGCAGTTTGTATTGCTTGAATGAATCGTGGGTAGCAAATTGGTCAA